TTGTTTTTGGGAATCTTGACATAAATATTTTGAAGTGAATCTTCATAGGTGGTGGTGGTGGTGGTGGTGGTAGCGGTTGTGGCTTTTGGTGGTTCGTGTTTGTTCGTGTCTTTACAAAAATTCTTTCGCGTTGTCCCGCGACAACACAACAAGACTCCCACCATTTCACACGGGATCACAGCACACCCGACACGGGAACCGAAAACACCGGACGCGAAAACCAGAAACACCGGAGACCTAAACGCACCGAACGCGGGAACCGAAAACACCGGACGCGGGAACCGAAAACATCCGCGCATTTGTTCCCTCTTCAACGCAAGGCGGGAACCGAAAACACCATCACAGGAACTGAAAACACCCGCGGGCACTAAAAAAACCGAGCCGGCCACCGAAAACACCGCCGCGCGGGAACCAAAAACCCACTTGGGAACCAAAAACACCGCGGGAACCGAAAACACCAACGTGGGAAGAAAAACACCGCGGGAACTGGAAACACCAATCCGGGAACCAAAAACCCGGAGCCCTCACGAATGGGACGCTTTGGAGGATGCGAAAGATGGGGGTTCAGTAAGGTTGATATTATACACTCCCTGAAACATTCATGGAACTGGAACATGGCCATTGAGCTCTACAAACAGATGGTTTTCCACTTCCATGCTTGTGACTCAGAGTGCACCTCAACTAGCTCAATTCCGCGGACGCCTGAAACGGTACTAGAGCGGAATTGGGATGGCTGGGACGTTGGAACCTAGATCAAGCCTGGAAACAACATGAAACAACCAAAGACCCTGTTTCCTTGGGGATACTTGTGTAGGCTGGGTGAACATCGCATGCGATCTGGGCTCTTGGTTTGCTGCCAGTCAAGGCAAATGTGTGGCCAATCAGGACAGCACCAGCCTCCTGGCCCCTGGTCCCTGGTCCCAAGCTCTGAAGTGTGCCAAGAAGCCACGAAGAGACAGGGGGAGTTCGTGGATCTCAGGACGCTTTGTTGATCTAAGAAGATCGAAGGCTAAGGTAAAAGGTCAATAGATGGAGGAGGACAGATCCTCTTGTGGGATTCGCCCCCCTCGTTAAGAGAAACACCACTTCAAACCGAGACAAGATCTTTGCCGAGGATCTTTCGTGCCTTGGATTTGAAGGTTTGTTGCCAGGTTTGTTGCCTAACTCAGCTAGGGAATGAAACTGCCCAGTCCTGTCGACGTTTTTTGCGGCCCAGGATTTCCTACCAGTTCACCCACAGTTCTTTCACACACATGCTGGGCAATGCGGGAAGCCCCAGCAGAGATGCTTCACTGGGCGATCTGGTCATTTTCGAACCTATTTTCTGCTATGCCCAGAACCAAACGGAGATCCTCACGCGATGACAACCCCATAAATAGGAGCAAGTGCGCAGAGATTTGAGGGAGAAAGACTTTCGCCAGAGGAACACGCAAAGTGGGCTATGTTGGTTTCAGGGTCGAAGCTCACATGTGTTTTTGCAGCCCTTGGCCCTTGGCTCAAGCCCAGACAAGTCAGCCGATCAAGAAAGGTCTCAAGGAATGGGCTTCATTCTAGGAGATCTTGGTAAGATCATGATGGTTTGATTGTGACAACTTGCCAAGACCCTACGATAGAAACTAAGGGAGAGAGAGAGAAAGAGAGAGAGAGAGAGATCACCACACTCTCTTCCCAACCAGCTCTGGCATGCTATCCCACGTTAGCTCAGGAAAGGGCCAATCAAATAGAAGATGCATTCCTTGGCATGCAGCCACCTCAACTCCTCAACAGAAGAGTAGAAATTTTATCGAGAGACCCTAACACCCCCAAAAGGTGGGGTTCGGTCCGAAAGGCTCCCCTTCACCCCGATACGCGGGGCAGCTGTGAGAGGGCGTTTGATGCTCAGTTGGTTGGAGTTGCTCGAGTTGTTTGCTCAGAACGACCCGATGTGGCCTCCAGAACGCGACCCGATGTGTCTCACGAACAGCCCCAAAGCAACAAGAAGGTACTAGTTTGTGCAAGTCAATTGAGGAGGGGGTCACCCGAACACCTTGAACACCACGAACATCACGAACATCACGCTGACGGTTGAGCTGGTAAGCCATGGTGGTTTGAACAGACTCTTAAATCAATGGTGAACTCCCTAACCTCTCGAAGCCATCTTTTCCGATGGCGCCATGCACACGACCGAAGAGATCCAGCGATGGTCCAAGGTTCGGACGCACGTGGCACAAGGCCGAAGAGAGAGTCGGTGTAGGCAAAAGTTAGTCGGTTTTTGATAGCTTTTTGGCTTTCCTCCTCAAAAGGACCTCAAAGACAGCGTTGCCTGAGCTACTTCGACTTGCTATCGAACCAGTTTGGGGTAAATGATGAGTCACCACTGGACTCTCAGGTTTTGGCTCCTTTAAAAAGGCTGGTCAAAGTCGTGATAGAATTCGTTTGGCACGGTTGGTAAAAGCCGGCTGCTGGTGCCAAAATTGCCCCTGGGAGTGTTGCCTTCAGGGCGCTTTTTTGCGCTCCTCTGCTGCTGCACACTTGGCAAGATCGCTTGCCTGGCTGGGAGCGTCACTGCCGGGCATTTGGCAGCGCAACGCGAGGAGAGTTGGCAGGAGACGGTGGCGTCGACATGTTTGTGGGGGTTTACCTTACCTGAAGTTGTCTGCAAAAGCGAGTTCTGCACACACGCGGATCAAGAACCCCTGCAAGATGTAGTCACCAGAAAGGGAGTATCGTGTTTGGGTAACCCTACATTGCCTGACCCTGTGCAAACAGTGGTGCTGGATACTCTCTTCAATCCATCATATAGCATTGTCCAGCATGGCATGGTCATGAAACCCATAAGCAATGCATGCTCGCCTTACAATCAAGGATACTTTCCATCAAGAACCTCTGATAGCCTCATGCTGCAGCACTTCCCAGTAACCTTGCACCAGGATCCTCTTTTGTGTTCGAGTTCTCCGTCCCCTACCACCACCATTTGGACCATTTGGTGCTCGCCCGCCCGTTTCCAAGCTTGGTGGCTCCCCTCCTTCCTCCTTCCTTGCCTAGTCCTCCAGGACTTGAATCGCACGCGCTTCGTGAAGAGCTCCGGGCAGATCGTCTTCTGCTCCTGTGACGTGGATTTTGACCCCTTGGGACGCCACGGGCGCAAGGGCTCCTTGACCTCGGAGGCCGAGTGCGAGGCCTGCTACAGCTCCGCGGAGGTGTCGCGCTTCCGGCAAGGCTTGATTGGTGCCCGGACCCGAGCGAAAGCGTTTTGTGGAGACGGTGGAAACGGTGGAAACGGTGGAATTGGAGCATGTTTGGAACGTCGCGCTTGAAGTTTCATGAGTAATTCAGTTGCTCCTGCTGACCTGCTAGCACATCTGTGAACGTGTTTGATGCACTTTCTGGTCGACTTGCTGGTAATGGAACATGGATTCCAGGCTGCTTGATCTTCTTCTGGACTCATGCCATGCAGTTCATCTACAGAAGGACATTTCAGGATGTTGGAAGACGTCCGGGGTTCTTGGGGTGAAGTTTTACCAGACCCCAATGTATAGGGGTGGGTTTCAGGAAAATCTTGGTGAGGGTGGGCTGAGGGGTCCCCTCAGATCGAAATCGGTGTGCTGGAGTGAAATCTGAAAAGAACATCGGACCACGTTTAGTCTCAAAGTTTTGCACTCTTAAGTTGCGCAAGACTTGCGTTCTGTTTCTGCCATTTTTTGAGGTGCTGCGGCCAAGCTTCCGTGGAGTCTTCCCTTGGCTCTGCCACCCTTGTGTCTGCCCTACTTATCGCGCTACCCACGCTTGGCAGAAGTGGATCGCTGGCTTTCCATCGCGGCCGTGGTGGCGGACCTGGCTGTGGTGCTGATGGTGACGATCTTCGGGGTGAATTGGGACGTCTTTAAGTCTCTGTGTGGCATGGGACATACCTTTGATGCACACTACCAGGTAGAGATTGGTACTCCTGATGAGATTGCAGAGGACTTTTGTGCCTACAGCACTTTGGAGCAAATGGTCCTCGCGGCTTCTTGTGTTCAGGCGCTGCTGGGCATTCTGATGTTACTGGCATTGCTCCAGATGCTGCCGGAGCTGCCCCTTCAAGCCGAAGCCAGAAGGGAAGCCATCAAGAAGCTCTCCTCCAGATTCGGAGCCTTGGGCGAGGTCGCCCGTGCCTGCGGAGCAATCGACACGCGCTCCGGGCCGTTGAAAGCAGAGGCAGCCGATCTGGAAGACGGCCACGGGGTCGACGACCTGGGCGTGGCCCTGTGCGTCGGCTCTGCGCGCCGCGCCCCGCGCAGCAGCCGACGCTCGGACACCGCTGGTTTGGGCTCGGCCCGCTCGCAGGCCTCGGAGGACTCCGGCCGCCGCCGCCGCAAAGCGCACGAGGCGCCCTCGGGCTCCGCGCGGGGCTCGGGGCGAAAGGCGCGGGCGGAGGAGGAGGACTTGGAGCTGGGGGAGCTCTTCGCGCCGGTGAAGGGCCCGCTGTCGGGTCGGAGCCCCCGCCGGGCCGTGTCGCCGCGGAGGGTGGGGCGACCGGAAGGGACGTGGGAGACGTCGCCAGCCGTGCTGCAGAGCGAGGGGTCAGTGAATTCCTGGATGACCGAAGGCCCCAGTGCGGAGCTCTTCAAGTCCATGCGGAGCTCGGCAGCGGGGCTGTCCATGCGAGGTGAGGATGAGGTGGAAGTGGCAAAGCAAAGGATCGAAGAGGAGGATGAAGACTTTGGGACTGACTTCTTTGCGTAGTTCGGGCTGAACTGGTGACGTTTTTGATCGTTTTTTGTTTTTTCATTTCTTTTTTTGCGGAACCCAGCGAGCGAGCGAGGAGCAATAGCAGGTAGGGCAGGGTCATTTCTTTCAAGCACTCTGTAAGGTGCAAACGCTGATTCTGGATTCTTGTGCTGTGCACTCCCTGGAATAATCACCAAAATGAATGGCACCTGTTTGGTACGAGGATTCAAGATCTGAAATCGGAGCCATGCCATCCACCTTTGGCCCATGAGCCTTCCCGGAGACTCCGAGTCGGGCTGTTTCTCAGGTATGCGCTCTGGGTCTCCCAGAAGTTCCAAACCCTGCGCCCCTCTGGTGCCTCTGGCGACTCGCTGGCGCACCTCGAAGAGGACCCGTTGTCGGAGCTCTTCCACGAGCCGCTGCGGCCTCCAACCGCGAAGATCTCCCGGCTTTGAGGGGCAACGGATGCGGGTGCTCGGACGCGGGCGCGCGCCCGCGGCCCAAAGTGGCCACCGTTGGTCTGAAGAGAAAGATACATTGTTGAGGTGGATTTTGGATGTTTTTGGATGATGTTCTACGGTCTCGTTTCACTTTTGGACAGGGTGTCACTGCGCGGTGAACCTCGCTCTGTGTTTGGCAGGTTCTACTCCTTGTGATGTGTGGAATCAACTTGGAGGCAATGGGAGCTGGGACTTGATAAATGGTTGGTTACTGTACTTAACGGCCCAATGACTTTGAAGGTACTGTAACCCTCTTCAGTGCGCCAAAAGATCTTGGCTGACCCCAACGCACCCCAAAAAGGAGGTGAAACTCAAACAATAGTGCCTTCTGGGGCAGAATGGCTTGACAAGCCCTGGGTTCCAGGAACTGCCCCGAAAAGAAGACCCTAACAACAGACTAACGGTGACCAACGAGTTGGAAACAGCTGTTGAACGAAAACTCAACAACCGCCAGCACCACCCAGTTCAGGTGGTTTAATATGTTTAATAGACCCGCCGGGACGATGCTTTTTCCATTTGATTATCACGCGAAATGGGTGGTGCTGGAGGCTGCTCAACACCTGACGACTTGGTTCTTGACACTGAAAACCAGATTTCTCAAAAGACCGTCTTCGTTTGTGCTTTTGGTAAAAAGGGCTGTCGAGGTTCTGGCCCAAAAACTTTGTTGACATTTCTGCTTGTATTGAAGTTGTAAGTGAAAAGAGCCACTCATGACCTAGTGCAGATAATGAAACCCACACACCCACACACTTCATACGGAGGGTTTGTTTAGTCAATGGTCTACGTTAATGAGCAGACCTCCGGTTCAACGGCGGATCGGGACGACGGTCTGTTCAGTTTTACCGGTGGAATGTCCAAGATATCAAGGTGCACATCTCATCTACGGAGTCAGATGCCATATTATGAACCACGGCATATTTCATGAGACCACCCCTTGCACTGTGTTTGAGAAGACCTTGGCCTCTCGGCTGTTCCGCAAGTGGCCGAGCCACCGACCGCAGCTCCGGCTCGGCGCGCCTCGTTCGGACCGAACGGGCTCCGTCGGCAGGGCTTCCATGGCACCTTTCGGGTCCTTTGGATGTTCGAGGTGGGTGTGCTGGGTCCGGTGCCCCAGGTGTGGTCTGAAAACCGGAGGCGGCTTTGGACCCCGCCGCTGTGTCTTCGCCCAACAGAGAATCTGTAGGTAGGAAAAGGGTCTTGGTTGCAAGATCCAGGTTTTTGCGCCTCCCATGATCGTAGAAGCCGACCACTCATATTGGCCGGACACCGAAAGGCTTCCGAAACTGCAATGACGCTAAGCACCGTGTGAACGAAAGCACCGTCCTTCTTGGTATCAACCGCTTACCAGGGTTACCGATGAATACCTGCGTGGGTCAACGTGGCCCAAAAGCAGGCCAGCATGTTCAGTGGCAGGTGTCAGGGGAAAGCAGGTGGAGGGAAGGGGGGTGTTGTGGTTGTGGTTGTGCGTTGTCGTTGTGCGTTGTCGTTTTTGTTGTCTTTGTCGTTGTCGTTGTGGTTGTTGTCGTTGTGGTTGTGGTTGTGGCTGTGGCTGTGGCTGTTGGTGTTGTTGTTGTTGTTGTTGGTGGTGGTGTTGTTGTTGTTGTTGCTAACATAAATAAACAATGCAGATAGTGCAAGGCAAGCTGAGCGGCATAACTCGCACCTTGGGGCCATTTTGAGCCATCTTTGAGGAGGGGGTGCCCTTACGAGCATGCTTGTCATCCTTTTTTTGCACTTCAGGCAGGGGGCGCGGCCCGTCTTACCTGCTGGTAGCCGCCTTCCGTGGCTGCCACCGACGCCTGTGCCAGTAGATGTACGAGTCGTTGGCAGGTCAAAAGCTCCATAGACGTATATGTATTGAATGTATTGAGATGATTTTGACTGCGTGAGCTTTATTTTGTTTTTTGCGCTGTGAGAGCACTATGCTGCAAGAGCACGGTACTGTAGAAAAGCGTGCAGATGCAACTGGCCTTGGATTCGCTGTAGCTAGTAGCTGATAGCTCATGATAGCTCTGCACCTCGCAGACCTGTGCAAGACCATGATTTCCCAACTCACGACGTGATTGCGTCGCCCCGCACTCTTGCAACCTGTGCGACGTGTTTATTCGCTTGTCTCCCATGGTGATTTCCCCATTTCCTTCTTGTCTCCCCATTGAAAACCTGTGATGATCTGATTTGTGCTTTGTCTCCCTTCTTGTCAGGCTTCTCTTGAGGATCTTGGTGTCAGTTGGAACCACCCCGGACTTGTTGTATCCCTTGGACCCTCTCCCCCGCACACTTTTTTGGGTTGGACCCCCCTGTAACGGTTATGTTAAAGGGAGATGTTGGTTGGTCACTCTGTATCTTTCCCCTCTGGTCGCTGGGGACATGGGAGAGTATGACAGTCTGACCCACCACCTCCTCGTGGCTTCTCCTGGAAATGATTTCCCCCTTCAACCTGGATCTGGTTCTGTGTGGAAAATATACTAAAACTCTCCCACTCTCGGTATTTCTTTGGTATCTATCGGCTTTTGCGCTGAGCCCCCCCCACGCCCATACGACGTGCGATGCATGCCACTGGCCCTCAACCAATCTATAGTTCTGCGCCGAAAAGGCGCCACCGGCCGTGCTCCGCAGATGGCCAACCGTTGCTTTCTGAAGTGGTCCCTTTTCACTTTTTCGCCTGCCATCTCCCAAGCCTGATTCGCCTGCCATCTGCGCGCACTGGGCGCGCCCTCTGTGTGGCACCTTGCGCCCCACAGCGCGCTCCTGCCAGTCTCAGGGCATGCACAAGGTTTTTCCGTTGCTGTAAGCGTAGAAGTGTGACACAACGCAAACTTCCTCCAACGGTTCAGCTCCCCTTCTGTCTTGAAAATTGTGCGACCTCTTCGCAAATGGCCTTTCATTGACCGTGCACAATTTCAGAGTCGCCTTCGTAAACCAAAAAGCGACTGCTCGCTGAACTTCTCTCAAACGTAGAATCGAATGACCACCTGAGTTAAATTTGCATATTTCACAGTGTAGAGTGGGTGTGATTCTGAGGTTTCTGTGTGTAGTACTCACGTTTCAACTTTTCACCTGGAGATACATGAGACACACAATTTTTGCTTATTCCAGCCTCTAGATGCTAGGGCCTATGGCACGTCTAAGATCACACGTGTCATCAGCATTCCTGGTCGCCAGTTCTGCCATCCAACTATTGCCATCCAGTTCACTTGCCAGTTCGCCAAAGTTCTGCCAACTATTGCCAAAGATCCAACTGAGATCTCACTATTGCCAAAGTTCACTTAACGGAATCGTGATCGTTTCCGGCCTCACGATCCACTTGCGCCACCCACGCTCATGGCTTGTGCCCCGACAGCGTCCGAGGTGGAGCCGGTTGCGTGTGTGTCTTCGACAGCCATGCTCGGGCGGGAGCCTGAGAAGGGGGGAGGTCATGCCACGCGGCGCACGGAGAGGGTTCAGACCCTCCGAAGAGATAGACGTTCATAAATCACCACTGAACATGTATTGGAAACCGTGTGAGGAGCTTGAGGATTGTGAGGAGTCAGCCTTGAGTAAGGTAAGGAGTCGACCGAAGCCCTTGCGAGGATACATATACGCCCCATCTGGAGGGGGGAAAATACCTTGCGATGCACAACTTTCGGCTAGCACCCCTTCTACACTAACATGAAGCTCCTGTGGAAAATGGTGAAACGGAGGGAGTCTGTTGGGAGGTAGTTCACATCCAAAGCGGGCCTCTTGATGTTTGAGGCCCGGGCTTGGCGTTTTGATCATCCCTCATGTAGAGTTTTGCTCTTTGGGTTGGGGACACCAACAAACATACAAATCGGGCACCGCGTCAAACACCAGGTCTTCCATGGATTCCTCCGGCAGAGTTACGGTCCGTCCCCCGACTCACTAGGTGGTGGGCATGTCCGGCGGGGCCTATGCCTTGTTGGGGATGCAGCTGGGCGATGTGATCTTGAACTGGGAGCGGAAATCGGCGCCCTACAGGCGGCCAAAACCGATCTTGGACGAGATCGGACCTGGACTGATCCTTTTTCCACCGCCCTACACGGTGGATGTGGATCGGACCCGGATTGACGCTCGATATGTGATTGTCATGCAGCTCAGTGGCGGACGGACCCTCAATGAGGGTCTCCAGTTGGGACGGACATGCAGGTGAAATTCACATCTGTTTGTCCCGTTGGTCGGCAGTGTCAAGAGGTTGCAACTGACCATGCTGAGCATCGAGAGCATGCACCCTGTGCTCCGGAACAGTCGCTTTTTTCGAGATCCCGCGCTTTGTGTTTGTGGGGGCACCTCATTTCGAGACATTTACTCTAGCTCTGAACCCTTCAAGATCTTGATGACCAAGACATGTTCGCCACGGTCTGCAGGCTTATCTTCATCATCCTTTTGACCTTGATGGAGGCGTTGGCTGAATCAACTGTATAAAAGATCGTGCGTGTAAAGGATTGTGCTGTGACCCGGGATCAGCTGCAGCTCGCTGTTTTCAGCCTGTTGACGCCTCCTGTTCATCGTTGTGCTTCCTGTGTTCCAGGTGTTGCTTTACCTCCTGAATCCCAGGGCTGAGATCAGCTACTCTGCTCACATGGGAGGTCGCCTCCTCAGCGGTGTTTCTTAGGGGGGCGGATGGGGAGGCCAGTGCTGTAGATTCCATCTTGTCAAAAGCATTTGTTGATGCATTGCAAACAAAGTGACCTATGGATAAGAAAACGAAGGTAAGCAGTTGTTTCGAAAGCGCAACTATATCTGTGTATATAATATTGTGTCCAAATCCAAACACCTCAGACAGGGCACAAGAACGTTTGGACATCCCTTCTCGCCCAAGCGAGACCTCCAAGCTCCCCGGCGTGTGCGTGCGCACTCCGCTTTCTTTAGGCGCTGTGGCTGGGCTTCTCTTGGTGAAGTCCTTTGGGCGGAACCTCACGCTCCGAACCCATGAGCTGGAGATGCAGGTGGACCGGTCGGACGTTTCAAGGGTGTCCAAACCAAAGACCAGCAAACATGACATCAGCACTTAAGTGAAGTCAGGGGGCTTGCACTAGTAAGGACGAAGGTGGTTGGAATACCAATTCTTTTTTCCAAGAAGATCTGTGAAGCTCTCTCTCTCTCTCTCTCGAGTTAGTAACCCTCCTATTACATTGGCGATGCGTCACATAGAGTTGCAGAATGTCCTGTTGTGTAAATAGAAGAAAGTGCATGGAACGCGGCGCTTAGAACACTGTGCGGTTTTCAACAATGTCTAAGTTGGATTGTCATCAGAAAGTCAGTGAGGCTAAAGGTTTCAGGTTGTGGGGGGGGAATCGTTCAACTACCATAGCCAGCTAAACCCAATGGCCATCTTCAAGGCAATGAGCAAAGTCAAGGCCATCTTCACACATTTTCAGCCGTGTCAGTCAAGGCCAACAACTCGTGGCACCAACTGGAACAGATGTGTGAACATGGAACATGGAACAAGGGTCCCCCAAAAACACCTGAAAATCACCCTAAAAACATCTGAAAACATCTGAAATGAACGTGATCAGGACCAACACTGAACATGCCTGCAAACGGTGCTCATCAAACACACCTGAGCTTCGTTGGCGAACCAACAACATGATGTCTCCGACCCGTTCTTGACGCGTGTCGAAACACGGACGTCCGAAAACCCGACCCATCCCCAAACAAAAAGAAACGTCCGAATCGAAGACCTCTGGAAGCAAGGTACACACCAAAGCCACCCGAAAATGCCATGAAAGCCACAAAGTATTGTCAAAAACATCACGGCGGCCAAGATCACGCAAAACCGGCGCTTACTACACGGGACGCAGAACACCATGCCATGTGTCTTCAGGTGTTCTCAAAACAATGTCTCCAGTCTCAAGAACGCAGAACTCAGCTCACGTATGAACCAAGGAAAACAACTTCTTACAGATGGACTGAGGATTTCACTCGAATTCTAATGCACGGAGAAATGCCCTTCATCCACTTTCCAGATGAAACTGGCCTTTCACCCAGGACACACCCAAAAGTTTTGGGAATGAAAAGCCTGCTTGCTCCGTTTCTTCGGCCCCCTGACCGTAGGTGATTTCGCTTCGCTTCGCTCCACGGCTTCAAAAGCGGCAGGTGATTCGGATGGCGAAGGCCTTGCTGGCTTGACCGGGCGCCCGGGAAAGTGGGAATGCAGGTTCTTCCGTCCTGGGGCGGGCCCGGGCTGGGCCTGGGCTGCATGGAGATGCGTTGGGCAGGGTTTTTTCGGGGCGTTAGGGGTCTGGGTTTGCCAAAGATGGTGGTGAACATCTAGGTCATCCAGGACCGATCAAGGCGAGATGTTTTGGGCCAAGATGAGGAGGAAAAACGCAGCCCCGAGTCTGCAGCCCAACCCTGGGAGTACCAGGTGATCTCCGGAACCAAGCAGTGCCACGTTTCTACTTTGCATGGGACAGAATGGCCGGGCGCTGCTTCTTCAGCGCTGCCGGGCAGATGTGGTCCCCACCGAGGTTTGGTGATTTTCTGCTTCTGCTGGGCTTTGATCAACTGGCCACCCCAGAATCTCCTGGAGCAGGCGCGGCTCGCCGGCCACGCGATGGAACTCCGATCCTTGGCTCGACCGCTGGATCGGCTCGCAGGTACCCTACTGCTGGGTGAGAGAGGTGAGTAACCAGACGCTCTTTGGGGATGGCGGTTTTCATTGCGTGCGATGCCCCAGCCTGGGGTGGACTCTTTGATGGGCTGAAAGCACGTTTAATCGGTGGTGGTTGTGTGGGAAAGACTCAGAACTAGAAACAAGATGGAAGGAATCTCCAAATCCCACACAAACACGCTTTCCTTCCTTTTCACTTTTCACGGGAACGTGAGATGATTTTGCACCGAAACATTGTTTCTGGTGAAAACCATGCCATGAGGGGAATGATTGATGCATTTGCTCGGCTGGCATGGATTGGGGCAACGTTGTGCGAGTGTTGATATCGGCTTAGAGCAACGCTATGAAGTCTTGTCCTGAAGGAAGGAGCTCTGAGCATTTTGCAACTGGAAGGTTTGCATGGTGACGATCACTGCGTGTAACTCTTCCTCAACCTTTGTGCCCCTAACCCCTCTTAACACTGCATATAGCGTGCCTCTATTCAAGCTCCAGACGCTTGGGTGAAACAGATCCAGCTTGGACGAGACGGGAGCATTGAGCCTCTATTGGGAGGAAGAGGTGATTTCCAAAAGCGTCCTTTTCGGAAGCTTTCGGCTTTCGGATGCACCCCAAGGGCTTCGGGGTGTTTCTGCAGTCTGAGGATTGATCAGTGCACTGGTAGTCCAGTCCAGTCCAGTCAGCAAAAGCCGGAGCACGATTTCGTAGGGGAAGAAAACACCTGAACTGAAAGGCACAGGCGAACGGCCATCAATACCTATACCCTAGCCCTTGCCTTCCAAGACTTAAAGCTGGTTGACCTAGTGTAAAATCATCAGTCAAACAGTATATATATATATACCTATGTACTGCATATTGTTTGGTCCGACCCTTAAAGCCAAAGGTTGACCAGCACCTCCGGTCCCAACACCGATTCGATCCGCTTCGTGCCCTCCGTTCCCGCACCGACGGAACTCAGGTCCGTTGCCCGGACGCGGCCTGCATCGCCCGCTGGTCCTTTCCGCGGCAGAACGACACGGCGCGGGTGAATCCCAGGCGGGGGTCCGGGGGAGGTCGGGGGTCCGGAGGACCTGGAGACCCATCGAGCTGGAAGCGAGATGGACCTGACATTGGTTTTTAAAGGTGCGCCTCGTGAACAGACAGGGTGGCTGTAGGGAACACCGTGGTTTTGGACGCATGGCCAAGAATAGACATCCCTTTGAGAATCGCGTGTCGCGTATGGAGCTACTTGTACGTACATCCATACCGTCCTTTTGTGCACTTTCTTGACCTGGGAGATACCAATAAGAAACCGCTGGAACGAGGAGTGCAGTATCGGGTTCCATGCCAAACTTTTGTGGACCTTCCCTTCCCTTCTACGATCTCCTTTCAACCAAACCAGAGCTTTTCCGGCCCGAAGCCGCGCAACTGCCTTTCTGCTGCTTGAAGCCGCCATCAGTCCATTCAGCTTGCGCAGGTCCTGTCCAAGCTGGGCGGCCACGGATGGTCCCTGAGCGCGGTGTCCAGGCGGTGCCAGCAGCTCTCTCCCTGCTGGTGGTTGGGCGCGGTGTCCAGGCGGTTTCACCCCGGGGCGGTGCGGAGAGGTCTCAGGATCCAAAGGATCCCTTCCGGGACGATCGGATGCTCCGCTGCGAAGAGACGTGCGACATGGATCGAACGGTTGGGGGTCTGGAGTTCGAATACAGACTGCTGGGAGCTGAGGTTTTTTTCCCTTTAAGTTCACAAAACATGTATGAAGTATATATCTCCCCTCCACTTTGAAGTCTAGCATGATAGCATTTTGCAGCGAGAGTTGTGTGGATCTTTCCGATGCAATAGTGGGTCAAACTTGATCACTTCCAACACCAAATCTGAATCTTTCACTTTCGGACCTGAAGGAACAATGACCTTTACCTTTGCTTTGGCAAACCGCCCTTGATTCCCTGGAAGTTTCTGAAGGGAGGGGGCAGATGCGGCGACGTCACGTCGTCGTCAGCTCAAGCGGCTCAAGCCGGTGTGCCGGCTCCGCACCGGGGCAGGAGCTTTCGCCATGTTGGCGCTTCATTTTCTGCCTTCGGCCGGCAAAATCTCTTTCGGGGAAGAGGGTGGCAAGAGGACTGCCCAGAGGTCTTGCACCCGGAGGTCCGCTGCCATTGGGGCGGGGACCTGAAACCGAGTCTGGGGTTTCCAAGTGAAGGAGTGTGATTCGGTGTTGGCCCAACCATGAAAGAAGAAAGATGTGGAGGACAACCAATCACTTTAGCACCTCTGACCGACTTACATTTTTCGTTTTTTTCTGGCGGTTTCCCCTGTCAAAGCTTCTTTCTTTCGCAGGCCCTCCCGTAGGATGACCTACCAATCAAAGATGATCTTCTGCAGGACGCCGGTGGTGAACCTGGACCTGGCCATCCAGCTCTCAATCCCGACATTGTTGGAGGCGCGGAGGTTGGGCGGTGGTTGCGGCGGGTGGCACGGGTTGGGCGGTGGTGACAATGACGAGACGTGCAGATAAAGGAGCGCAGCAGCGACCCTGCCAAGGGGAATGGAGATGGAGACGAGTGAGTGATTTGATGTGATTTGTTTTTGATTGGTTGGGCGTGGCTAATTTTGTGTTTGCTTCCTTCCAGTCAATGCCGCCGCAACAGAATTCCGATCCGCTCTGGTTTTCTTGAGATCAGGCTTCCCAAATGAAATCGTCTTGGACTTTTGAACTTTAGTTGGATGTTTCCGAAAGGTGTCGGTCATCGACCGCCGTTTCTGGCCAAGTCCAAACATGTACAGACGTGACACCGAACGGGAGAGGTGTCAGGCTTCCCAAACATGCGGAACGCCCCGTTCTCGGCTGTTCTCACCACCCGCAGTGAACGTCCGTAGTGCAGTGCACGTCCGCAGGCTTTGATGAAGAGCTATGAGGCGGAGAGCTTGGCCGCTTCGGAGGCTTCAGGCGAGCGCAGAGGATGGAGGATCGATTCAGAGGATGGGTTCTGGAGGATTTTGCAACTTTCTTCTTGAAGACTGAAGACTTGAGGAGACTTTTTTCATGGTGTCACAATCGCCTCTGGTAGCTTTTATTTTCTTAGGGGCTCTGATTTGTGTCATTTCCATCTACTTGTGTCACCGATTCGGAAGGACGCAGAGGTCGGGGGTTGTCCGAATCATCAGACGAGGCCCTGGACCGTGGCCACAAGCATGTATACAGCATGTGAACGATGTGCCATTTTTGTAGCCCAGAACCATGGAGACCAGGAGCCTTTGAGAGCATACCGAATGTGTGACGGCTGATGTGCTGATATCTCCGTGCTGCGGAGATGTGGGCCTTCAGCATGTTTTTGACAGCGAAGAAGCCCAGATCTCGACAGAATCGACAGATTCCCCGTAGATCACACGTTCTTTTGGTTTTTGGTGGACATGTAAATCATCTGAGTCGTTGGAGTGGGCTCTGGGGCATCTCAAAGTACCAAACCAATTCCTCCCAAAAGAGAATGGCTCAGACTCTGAGGCCATTGCTATTAGGTTGGAGGCCATTGCTATTAGGGTGCAGGCCATCGCCATTAGGGTGGAGGCCATCGCTGTTAGGTTGGAGGCCGTCCCTATGAGGTTGGAGGCCATTGCTATTAGGGTGGAGGCCATCGCCATTAGGTTGGAGGCCATCGCTGTTAGGTTGGAGGCCGTCCCTATTAGGTTGGAGGCCATTGCTATTGGGGTGGAGGCCATCGCCATTAGGGTGGAGGCCACCGCTGTTAGGTTGGAGGCCGTCCCTATTAGGTTGGAGGCCATCGCTATTAGGCTGGAGGCCGTTGATGAATATTGAAGATATAGGCACGTTGGAGGCGGTCCTTATTGGACACCAGGAACTGGTTTTGGCCAGTTCCACATGTGTTTCATGACCTTCATGGGTGAGATGTTACCATCCAAAAGTGCTCGAAATTTCGGGAATGTAGACCGGTTTTCTTCAAGCAGTCTTAATGTAAATTCTATAAACATTCTATACAAGATCTTCAAATGTGGCGGGTTGGATTCATCAACCGTCAACATCTACCCGTCTTTTTCCGCTCAGCGGCAGGTGCTGGACCGGCAGAGCGCCCCACGGAGCCCAGCGAGGTGCAGCACGGCTCGGAGGAGAGATGTTGGTGTCTCACTTCGGCACCCAGCCAGGCCCATCGTTGGGCTGCAAGAGAAACACCAGTTTACTGTTGGGGTTCCTCTCTGATAGGAAGAAAAGGCCTGACCGCGCCGGCCGCCCCTTTCCGGGCCTTGTCGGTGTCCTGCTTGGGCCGTGGGCCCTTTCGTCTCGGCCTTGTCCGGGCCTTGTCCGGGCCCTCCTATCACCACTGTCCGGGCCTTGTTCCCTGCTTAAAACCGCGCGGTTGTCCCTTTCTCCACCGCCCGGTCCGGTTTTTCTGCACTGAACGCAACAGTGATGTAGCATGTCAAATTTGATATCATCCTGTTCCCAATCTTTCTTACATGCTGTTCCCAAAGAGCTGGAGGCTGCGGCTATGGGAATATAGTTACAGACCTTTCCACCAGCATTGTAATTCAAATAACTGACGCAACTGGACATGTTTGGGGTCTATGCTGTTGATTGTGTTTTTTGGACGGTTGACCCAAAGAAACTGAGCGGCTGTGGTTTAGCAGTGAAAAGGGGAGTGCCATCAATTAAGAAGAGAAGGAGAGCACAACTGCAAGAAGTAGCACATTCCCGCATCAAAGTACAGTGAAGCAAGTTCCTCACATACCAAAATGGGTTCCGCTTGGCTCGTCCTTTTTGCCGCAGAGCTTCTTCTGTGGTTGGGGGTGAACATTTCGTGGCCCCTTGTTGTCAGATTGCATCCATTTGAGGAGGTCTCTGCAGTTGGTGGGCATCCCAAAACCACGGTCTTTGACGGGTTTCAAGGGCTGGGATGCCACACCCAGTTGCTGGGTGTTCGTTTTTTTTGTGAGCCCTGTGATGGGGTTGCCAAAGGGGGGGGCGGGCTTGGAGTGCGGTTGCTTCCAGGACAGCAAGGGTGAGAAGCAGGAGGCCAAGGAGGATCTAGAGGCTCCGGTTCCAGACAGGGATTCTGAACTGGAGGTATGGGTGACCTTCAGATAGATGTGGTGTCAAAGAATCGATGAAGCTGGCTCTCTTTTGAAGCTGGCTCTCCCCTGGGGCGAACCTTCGGAGTTCTATTTTCTGTCTTTTTCTCCCAAGGTGGTATCAGTGGTGGATTTGTGTTCGGGTGGTGGAAGCTCATCCATCTCATGGTTTGGTGCCTTTCCGACCACCAGCCTTCACCAGCTCCAGCGCTGGACTGGGTGTGCGTGGTGTGTGCGAGGTGAACACCTCCGAGCCGGAAGGGACCTGCGAGGCCGCTGGAGTGGTTTGGGAACCCTTCAACGGAGCGAAGCTGGAGCAGCCCGCCCTGCCCCTCGTGTCCCCCTGGGAGACGCTTGGTTCTCTCAGAGAGGGTATACGGAGACCTGGTGCGGCCGAACTAGTTGGGAAGGCAGAAGGTTTCCACAGAAGGTTTTCCGTGCCGGTGCCTTTTTGAAGAAAGAGAGACTCGACGACCGACAAAGGTGAACTCAAGGTTTCCTCCGAACTTTGGGGTGTATGAGGGGCTTTTTGAGGCCGATCCTGACCAGTGGCAGCTTCGCCAAGAAGAAGGGCAACAAGATGCTCGAAGACTCGAAAGGTGATTTCTATGCACGTTTGCAACAGCTGAGTGATGCCTCGGCCGCTGTTCACGAGTTTCAAAAGGCGTCCTTGGAGGCGCAGCAGACCTTGAGTTGTGCACAAGGGGCCTTGAGCAGTCAGCTGCAGAAGTCAGCCTCTTCCATCCACGACCGTATTCACAACCTCGCGTCCAATGTGAAGTTCCAGAACGCGGGCCTCTCCCGCCACTGTGCGGAGCATAGCAGGAGGCTGGACAGTATTTGCGATGGGATTTCATCTTTGCAGGACGGCTTAACTGGGGAACTGGAGGAGATCCGTAAGGCACTTCACCTTGGACATCCAGGATCTTCCAACTCGGCTGGCCAGGCTAGCCAGGAGGAACGCAACTAGGAATGCCACCACAAGCTGCGCTCCGCTCTTTTCACCACCTGAGCTCTGGTGGGTGACGGCGCTGGCTTGAGCAGCGAGCTAAGCAGTGATCCTGGCAGAGGCGCTCCGGTCTGACCATCTCGGAATCCTGAGGAGGTCGATGGCGCCGAACTGCCAGTGATCGATGTACATCCGTGTCATGTAGAGTACTTTTAGCGTTAAAAGACCAAGTGACACCGTGCAAAAAGAAGCCGAGTCGGCCAGACCTGGCGGTGGAGCCCCCTCAGTCTGGCGGCCTTCTGGATGGTTTGGGGGCTCAAGAATCGAAGAAGGCCCAGGGTGGTGGCACATCATGTCTTCCCAAATCTTTGATGATTTCGCGATCTTTCGTGGTGGATGCGGGTTGAACCCCGGACTGTAACATATTCCACTGTACACCCCACACCTATTGCAGTCTTGAAAAGAAAAGACCCACTTCATCAAAAGCATTTCATATTTTTACTGGCCAACCGCCAACTTTATGTCGCATCCCAGCTACACGCTATTCCTGACCCACATCAATACTGGTCTTAAAGGAAATACATTGCCGTCGTCTACGTGGCGGGTCAATACGGGTCACACATCACAGAACCCCCGACGCCCCACGCCAGGTCACGAGGCTTCCCCAAACAGCTGCGGGAGGTTTTTCCGGTTTGTGGTGCCGTGACTCCGGGGTTCCACACCGGAACAGAAAATGGCTCACTTTGGTTGCCCTTGACCCGCGCGCCCCCGGAGCCGTTGTCGAAAGCCAGGAAGTCCTTGGAGCTTCAACGTCTCAAGGTGTTTCTGAGGCTACTAGGAACAAGGGCATCGCTACGAACGGAGCAAGGACTCGGAAGTTTTCCAAGAAGACCTGAAAGTGTTCGCACAGGTGCTGCAGGGGTGGATGCCAGAGAAAGGTAAGGGTCAGCACAAAGCAGCATTTGGTTGGAAATCCAGTGTTTTGAAGAGGTTACAACCACTGCGACGTCTTGATTTATTCCCCGGTTGTATGCACCAAAGGTCAATCCCTTCAGCCTTCCTGACATTCTCAGATCCTAAAATCTTTCATCCATCGCAATGACATGAGCTTCTTCAGCAAGTTGTACGAGCCGGGATCCCCAGCAAACATGGAATAAAGGGCTGTCTCAACAGCCCATGGAGCTTCATCACGTGCGTCTGGATTTAGAGCATGGAGTTTAACATCTCTCAACAGCTGGGGTTATCCTGTCATCCAGCAGACAAGAATGGACTCCCAGAATGGACCCATTTTCCTTCTCACCCCCCATGGTTCTGAGATCAGATCATCAACCCAAGTCTTTGCTTCTGGGGTTTTCGCTCAACCTCGAAAGCCGCTGAGAGGAAGTAGAGCGCTTCATCATTCCGGTGTCTTCAAGTCGCCAGCTTATGTCTGGCCCAGGTCTTCTATCTATTGGGTCTTTCCATGTCAGTCTGGTCCATGTCGGTCTGACCGACCGACCACCACGGGTTTGGTTCGGAACCTCGGTTCGGGGCGTCGTTTTCCCCACCGAGCAGGTGCTTCTCGTTTGGTCTCCCCTCCCGCCTCCGGCCTCCAAGGTGCCCCTGATCCCCCCCCCCACCTGCCGAGGCAGTACACGGAGCTGTGGCGAGCTGTGATCCGACCTCCTCGTGATCAGTATGAGATCAAGGAAGGGGGTGGGGGGGGCGCAGGCGGCCTGGGTAGGTGGTGTGGCTGGATTGGCCTGGGTGGGGTTTGGGCTGGGTTGGATTGGTGTTGGGTAGGTCATATGTCATAGTAGGTCAGTTGGTGGGCCGATGATGCTTGCTGGTCCCCATGGAGCGGTCGAGTGACGGAATCGGGCAGCTGCAATCGAACCACTCCGCCGCCCTGGGAGTCCTGCGGCAGGATTTGGGCCCGGCCGTCTTCAGCATCGAGTCTACTTCTCAGAGAAGACCATTTGGGCAGAATGGGATCTGTTTTTTTTCCACCTATGTTCAATCGCCGTGTCTCTACTTGAGGATGAACTGAGTGAACATGCTAAAACAAAAAGAGAAGCTGAACACCGTGCTTTGTGGTGCCAAATGAAACCTCAACGCCCACGCTCGAAAGCCGCTGACGATCCACGCGGTTCGGTTCCACGGTTTGCGTCCCCTGAGAGTCCAGTTACCTATCTTGCGAGCCCCTTCATCCTCCCAGATCTTAGTCCATCCAAGGAAGGGCTCCTGTTGATGGGGGAGAACAAAACAGTCCTAGCCGTCCTTGTTCCGAACCGTTGTTTGGAGGCCAGGTATAGCGTCCGGAACCTCGTCGCGTTTGCTCCCGCTCCTTGTTCCTCCTCCTCGTGGATTGCCCCGAGGAACCGGACCTATCAACGCACAGACTTGTCGTTGAAGAATCCCCGGGGCCTCACGCTGGTGCCACGAGCTCAGAGCGGAAGCTGTCCTGGGACCCAGGTCTTCAGCTGTCCTGGGACAGCACGGAGGAAGTTCATTGCATGGACTTCCTGCTGGGTACAAGGTTTCCATTTAAAGCAATCCTCTTGGTACCCAGTTCATTGCAAGAAACTTTTCTGGTAGACTTGGTCCACTTTAGTCTGCTGGCACTGCTGGTGGTGTACTCATCGCAGACGGGTGCCACTGCAGTACTGTGCATTGTCACTGTTTCTGTTTCCGCAATTTTTTGGGACGCTATTAGTTGGGGGCCATCGCAAGTAGCTTGGAGGCCATCGCAAGTAGCCGTAACCGGAAGCCCTCCTTGGCCTTGAAGGTCAAGCAGGGTCAGGCACGATGGATGTTTCTGTCGCCTCAGGTGCAGTCACTTCGAACCAATTGCAGCGCCTGCTCCTCAAGAGACTGTTTCATGTGCTTAAAGTCCTGACTTGGTACTGATTTGTTGGATTCATCCAAGTGAAGTCATGTCGAAGTGTTCACGCTTCCTTAATTTGATGATCCGCTGAAGTTGATCATGGCAACTGGAACCCCAAATGCTGGCTTGAGTGGGTCAGTTCAATCAGTAGACCAAGACAGTACACACTGCGCAGTACACGGGCCAAACAGGTCGGGACCAGACTCGACTGGTCAATGGGGAAACCAAAAATGGCTCGATCGAGCTGGACGCCCATTAAGCGAACGATGGAACGAACCGACGATGGTTTTGAAGAGAAGCTGATGGGCGACCTCTTCTTCTGGGATATCTAGGTTTGGTTGAAGAAAGAGAGGGGCAATGGGAGTGCTTTAAAGAAGAGAAAGGGGCGGGCCACAGCACCGGCAGAGATCTTGGCAGGGAACGACCGGCTCAGCGACTCCCTTGTGTGGTGTACCTGCATGGTAACTGCAGCAGCCGCTTAGAGGCGGGCGCAGCGAAAGAGGTGGCGAGCGGGGCGAGGCTCATCGGGGGGGAGGAACTATAACTCCACATTGGAATTGAATTGGAACAGGAGTCCATTCCGCTTGAGTTGGCTGTAGCATTCGACTGGCTTTCCGTAGCAGGGACGCTGAGGGTCAAGCTTCCTGAGCACACGCTGTTTCCTGCGTGAAAAGGCGCGGTGTCGCCGTCGAGCGTTCTGCGGGGTGGTTGGGGCTGTCGAGGCGGTGAGCACTTTGCCGGTGCTGCTGCCGTTCAACATCACTGCCGGGAAGCTTTGTGACCATCTGCCACCATGGTTTGGGAGTGTTTGGGTCACGTCGTGCTTTTACTAAAAGCAAAAACATACTTAGTGCAGCACAACGTTTTTGTTTTGATTCATACAGAGGACCATCGAGTTCTATCGAGTTCAGCAGAATCGGATGGTTTCGGAGAAGTCGAAGTTGAACCAATCAGACTGAAGCGACTCGTGAGGAATGAAGGATACCTCAGGATCCAGCCGCCATCTTTTCGTTGCACCAGTCAGCACTTGATGATGGCCACCATCGCATCACCTGCCTTGCTCGACTCGTCGGCGGTGGCGGGAAATCCGTCTTTCAATTTTTTTCCTGGAACGACTGCCAGGCCCGAAACTGGACCCACCACAGCTCACACGGCTGGTGGGGGATCCGCGGGGGCCCGAGGTCTTCTGCCTCGACTTTGCCGGCTCCGGGCTCTCTGACGGAGAGTGCGCCCGGGATGATCCCTGTGAAACACGGCAGGTGGTGGGTGGGGAGCAGAAGGTCTTTTGTCGGGAGCAAACGGCAGTATTGAGACACTTGGCCATGAGGAGCCTGCAGTACTAGATTGTGGATTTGTAGAGGATTTGTGGAGTAAAGTAGGTCTTGAGAGGTTCGTCTTCAGCTTCTATCTTGGGCTTTTGGTCAAACGACCTGACGCATCCACAGCGTACAAATCAGCTGCCCACACAAAAAAAATCAAACACGTTTCTCCTAGTACCCTAGAAGTCCAAAGACTATATTTTGACCGGCTGAAGTAAAGGAAGTTCCCTTTCAGTTCCCCTAAAGACCATTCTTTTTTTGTCTTTGACTCCCAGGGAGCAGTTCAGTTTGGTACCTGGATGAACCTCCGGTCTACCTACCACACATTGGTCCTACCTGCTGCTTCGCTCTCGGCCAGGTACCTGAGCCTGGGCTACTACGAGCGGGACGACCTGGCGGTGGTGGTGGACCACCTCCGGGAGTCCTATGGCGTCACCTGCATCGGCCCGGGTCACCTGGAGTGGCCCTGGCACGGGCAGCACGGGGTGGGTTACAGGTCTTGAGACGGGCAGCACGGTCACCTGCATCGGCCCCGGTCCACCTGGAGTGGCTGGGCAGCACGGGTGGGGTTAGGCGAGTGAAGATGGGCAAGACGCAACCTGGCGGATGTTTACAAGCAACTGAAGCAAAGCCGCATGGACCACCGGATGGCACGGGTAACATCATCCTGACGACCTAAACATAGTCTGGGTCTGTCCGGACTTACCTGTAACTGTCAGTAAACACGCAAAGTCACTCCATTCAGCAATACATGGCCATCCATGACCATCCATGACCCATACTAGCCATCATCATCATCATCATCATCCACTTGGGCCTTGGTCAATCCGACCCCAATCCATCCGTGGGCCCCGCACTCCGAGGCCTCTGGGGCCGTTCCATGGGCGCGTCCACGGCGCTGCTGCACGCCGACCGCTGCTCGGTGTGAGAGCGTGAAGAGAGGTGTGTCGTTCGGGCGAAACAGAAGAGGCAGAACACGACTTTGCTGAAATCATCAGGGCAGTGGAGGTTTTCCACCTGCTTAGTATACAAGGATATACAAGGTATCAATGGTCATCATGCCTGCCTGAAAAGGGGCCATGCCATCCAGTTTTTGTGATTTATTCTCACGGGGTGTAGCATGGCGTAACACTCCTTCTTTTGTGTTGGTCGATGTTTTTCGGCTTTGATCTGTGAACGCCCAAACGTGCGCATGTCCCTTTCCGAAGACTTCCAATCAGGTGATCCATCCATCGCAGGGCTGGTCTTAGACAGCCCCTTTTCCGACTTGAAGGCCGCTACCGACACGGCGACACGGGTCGAAGGAACGGGTCTGTCGAGACCGCATACTTCACACAGGAGTCACCCACACCGGGAATCAGTGCAACATGACTTTGACATGTTTTTTGAATGAGTGATGACAGTGATGAATCGATTTTCTCACGTGAGAAGACGAGTGGATGATTTGATTTTTGTCCCAATGTGGACGTTCCGTTGCGGACTCCCTCCCTCCCTCCCCTCCCTCCCTCGCTCACTCCCTCCCTCCCTCACTCACTCACTCACTGCCAGGTGCTGTGCGAAGAGCTGGTCGATGGCTACACGAACTCTCGAGTGCCACGCTGGGTCACCGGCATCGCTCTCCAGATGGCCCGGGCGCCGAGCCGGTGCGAAGTGAACATGCTTGGGGTGGATATATAACTGATTGTTTGGTGGATAACTGAACAGATTAGGATGTTGACAACCTGAACGCATTAAGTTCAAGATGCTTGACGTGCTCACGAAAGAGATTTGCAAGATCAGTTGAAAGGGGATTCACTGTTTGGATCTTTTCAGTCGGCCCCAGAATCAACGTCGTGCACTCTCTTCCATTCTCAGTCGATTGCGCCAGAGTCTTCCACTCAGTTCGGCCTGTGAGTGCCTCGATGGGTCCGACTGAGCTCGGCCACGTCGACCCGCCCTGTCGTGCCCCGTCTCGATCGATCGACAGGTTCGCAGCTCCATCTCGACCCATGCCGACTTCGACATCTATGACTTGGCTCCCGTGCAGCGCGGGTCACCGAGGAGAGACGAGAGAATGGAGTCCGTGGCCGCCGTAGACGGGAGCGCCCGACGTCGCCCGTTCGGGGCTTCAGGACTGCTGGGTTCCTGGTGGTGAGACTGGGTGGGTTTCAACAGAGAAACGAAGCCAGTGAAGTTAGACACCAACTGGGCCTTTCACATCATCGAGGCATGCCTCCAACTTTGATGTGTTGAATGTGTGCCATTTGGTGACTCAAGACCAATCAATGGCCCAACGTTCCCAACGACGTTCCCAGCAGTGGCTTTTGCCCATGGGCTTGGCATCATTCCCAGCAGTTGTTTTTCCTTGTTTTTGAGTTGTTTCTATACCCTGAATTTCCTGGCCAACCATTGTTTAAATATGTTTAAATGGTCTTTGCTGAACAACCATGGTTTTTCTAAGGACTTTACACTGCAAAAGCGCAAAAAGCCAGGTCAACTATGTTTAAAGCCAGGTCTTGGAAGGCGTTTGGGCGGCCAAGTCAACTATTTTAAATATGGGACCTCTTGGAGGCGTTTGTGCGGCTAGGGTCTTTTTTGGGATCTCTTTTTCCTCCAAAACCACACCGAGGCACGTTTCCAAGTCCTTCATCCCGGCGCTCTTCGCCGCCGCGTGATGCCGACGACGGAACGCGGGCGGCGTGTCCCGCCGACCGGACGGAGCGGTGGCGAACATGGCCAGGTACAACGATCACTTCATTCCACCGCATCATGCCAAAGAGCTGCATGCGGCCTATGCAGGAGACAAGGCCGAAGGGATTTGTGGGTCCGAAAGGAGAAGGGTGGAGACGCAGGAGCAGGTCTCGAAGGGTGCTGGAGAACAGTGTGTTTATAAGGATTCAGGATCAGTATTCCAGAACCCCCAAGGGTGGTTAATGGACACCCTTGAACAGCTAAGTTGCTATAAATACACACCCCTTCGAGGGTCCTGGTGTCGTTTTTAATGTCTAGGATACTTTTGGAGCGGGTTTTGGAGCGGGGCGCGTGGACATCGTGAGATTGCATACCAAAAGAGAACGTTTTCTGCAATCGCTTTTTTTTGATCAGCGGCAACAAAGACATTAGTTTTGTGAATAGCGGCCATACGTCAACTCCCACCGTTCTAATTTCAAGCCTTCTAGGCGGCGGCTGAATGCACTCACCGACGAAGCTGAATGCACTCACCGGATTTCGTTGCCAAAACATCCAAATGCCAGACCTACGTGACGTCACCGGCGAAATGAATGCTTTGGGGTATTTCATGCCCCACATGGTGTCGTAGATCCCAACGAGGAAAAGGACACCCTGTGAGAGCCGGATGTTTTTCTCGCCCACGGGGTTGCCGCCTTGGGGTCGGTGGTGCGTTGCCGCGCTTTCCGGCCCCCCCAAAAATGGGATTTGAAGAAAGGTCTGGTGACAGCCGCTGCTTGGGCTGTTTCATGGCTAAACTGGTCTGTGGATCATCTGGATGGATATGATTCCTGCCAAATTGGCCTCAAAATGGCACTCTTTCCCCCAGCAGCTGCGCTTCGCACCGTGGACTTCATCCACTTCCAGCAGCGTCGGCACCGATCCTTTGCGCGGGGCGGTGAAGTGGGTGCGGCGCCGTAGGACGGCCCCCCCTCCGCCACATTGGCTGTTGAATCTGAGCGGGCATTGGTGTGATTTGGATGGTAGGAACGCGTCTTTCAGAGATCGCTTACCCATCTGACCTGGCTTCGTGCTTTCTGGTCTTTCTGAGTATATAAAAGATCGCGATGAGAGATAGATCAGCCATGATTTGCCCCTGGTGACGAACGAACTCCATGTGTGTTTGGGCTCTCTTTTGTTTTTTTCTTTTGGTTTTTCATTGGTCTCGATGCAGAACTTCATCATGGTGGAGGGGGACCACAACTCTTCCAGATCCAAGTTCTTCTTGGACTCGGTCTCCATCTTCTTCTTCAATACCTTGCAGGCCGGGCCGGTTTGGCCATGGCAAACGCACGTTCTCGCGGGTTGGATCGCGTTCTTCTTTTTGCAGAACTGTCTGTTTGTAAGAGGAACATAGAGGAACAAGAACCCAGACAGTGTGTGACTGTGAGTAGAAGCATGCTGATCTACAGCATTTTCTAAGCATGACTCTTAACATATGCAGGAACCCCAGATGTTACATGGAAGTCCCTTTTCCGGACACTCGACAACTTCAACCAAGCTGTTCACACGCATACCATTGAAGCCGAAGCTATTTGATCAGTACAAGTACAAACATATATCGAGTGGTGGGGGGTGTGCTGGAGGAAGGCTTTGGTCCAAATATGTCAACATGTTTCATTTCTAGCAGTCACGTTCGACGGGGTGCTTTATGGAGGTTAGGGGTGCCCAGCTACTCCACTCACTTGGGTTGTCCAACACCACCCCGACATGTGACTCCTGGTTGTTTCGACTTCTAAGAGACCACTAGCACTGCTCCGGTGGCCCACGAGGATCGGTCCATCCCAGTCAATCTCCGGTATACCCGAAACGACTGGGACCGAGCACTGCTCCAAGCTCCTCCCATGCCGACCGAGCGAATCAGCCACGTGTACATACTCAATACTAGACAACTCGATGATTTTATGATGTAAATGACTCTACAATTGAGTCTGTATCTACTTTATACAGTATACATTCTATTACATTCTATTCTTGCCCTTCTGGCAAGACATTCCACGCGCTTCGGCCCCTCATAAGAAATCTCTACCAAAAAGAGGGTAAGAAACCCTCCGCGAGCCGAGGGGTTCAAAACCGGGTCTCCCAAAACCTGTTGAGGAAGAGCTCTAAGGGGTGGACATGTCGGACGACCGCGAGTTGGTCTCCCAAAGCGGATTTCTCTGCGCCAGTGCGAGCTGCTGGTGAAGCATGACCCCCGAGAGGCCCCGGTATGCGAACACGCGGGGAAAAACGGTGGTTTCGACCTGCTGCGCAAGCAGAATTGGAAGCACCTGGAGTGGACCTGGAGTCTCCTTTCGATTTGATGGTGGTCACGACCGCGGGGAGTCGTCAAAGATTGCAGTATTTTGAAGATCTTAAGGTTGCAGCTTGACCAGTGGAATTGGACTTGCTGTGAAGGGAATAGGGCAATAGGGGCAATTGACATTCAGACAGAGACAACTCAGAACGGCGGAACTCCCAGCTTAGATCTGTAACATGTCCTCAGTACATGACATGATACATGGACATTCTACTCAGGGTAGATTTTTCATGTCGTTTCTTGAAAGCTACTCAATCCATCTCAATTCATTTATCCCGTGCTTGGATGGAGTTCTTGTGTATTTTTTTAAAATGGCTTTCTTCTCTGTTGCCTCGATGCTTTCGCAGAGATTCTCTTTATTTTTGCCGCTTTTGCACCTGTTCTATACCGGCTAGTACGATCAACTACTGTACAGGGGCCTTTAGGATAACATTGTAAGCTTCCCCCCAAAAAGCACCTGAGAACATTATTGTAGCACCCCCACAAGAAATGGTGTTCGATCCTTTTTTCTTCGTTCCAGACTGTGGGTCTGATGGATGGGCAGGCTGCGGCGGCGCGGCCGAGCCGGGAGTCAGCGCCCAGGCTGGGGGGGCTCTTGGACATCTGAACACTTGGTGGGCATCCGGGGTGGGCATCTTACCTTACCTAGCTTGAAACCTACCAGCAATGGCCTCCAACCCAATAGCAATGGCCTCCAACCCAATAGCAAGTCTCCAACCTAATTACTGCCAGGTGTTGAAAGATAGACACAACACTGAAGATGAGTTACAAGCATTCCCAGACTTTGCACAGACTTTTTGTGCCAGGGATGGGGGATGCCCTCGTGCTTCATTGAGCTGCCCAAAGCTTTTTGCTTCAGCCAACCGATGGGGAAGACCACCTTGGGCCATATGGGTGTCAATCTCCTGGTTACCTCAGACATCCTTGGATTTGCGTCTCTCACACCGTGCCCATTGGTCTTCGCCTTCGGGCCGCATTGGGAAGACACCGCGTTGGGAAGGCCCTTTCCGGATGGCTTTCAGCTTGGCGCTGAGATCCCAACGGGGGCGCAGAACAGGCGGAACCGTGGGGAGGAACTGCTGGGTCCAGTTGACTAGCGGGTCTGGACACCCTGACAGGAGGCCATCGCGGTTGGAGGCCGAAGTTGAGAAGGAAAGACCACCTCTCCTGCTGGGACTTCCACATCTTCCGACCAACCTTTGAGGCCCAGACCACCTTTGAGGCCGCCGGTGGAAGCAGTGGAAATGCGCGACGAGGCACACGTGGTATGGCCATGGGGCGCAGAGTCTGCGGGATGTTTGAAGGATTCTGTTCATCTCTTTTCCACCTACTAGGGGTTTTTAGAAGTTCTAGAGAGGCTCCGTTTTTGTTGAGCCATGTGCACATGGGGGCAGGTTCGGGCGCCAGAAGTCTGGTTCCTGATTGCAGGTATCCATTGCTCGTCGTGTATCTTTGATGATGGTCAACCTTCTGAGAAGGGCCCGGTCCCAACCGTTGGGTTGGGTGTGCATTCATCTGATTTTCATGGGGTTCGGGGTCAAGCGAATTAGGAGACAGTTCTGATCCGAAACTGGGGGAAACTGGGGAGGCTTTGCTCCGTGGGTGGAGGATTCTTCGATGCGGCAATGATATCCCAAAGGGTCTAGCAGGAGATCGTGGCCTGCTGATCCGTCTTTGGTGCTTTTGTGACGAGCCCTTGCTGCCTAGAGACGGGGGTCTGGAGGATGAAGATGTAAAACGCAGGTCTCCAAAGAAGGAGAACACAGACAAAAAGCCCGGAACCCAGAAGTCCACTGCTCCCCAATGGTTTCACTCAGCCCTGGCTGCTTTACAGACGACCCCACAACACTGGACAGATTTGGGACATCACATGAAATCCACTTTTATTTATTTTTCAAAAGCCATTCCCACACCTTTCAACTGACTGCTTTCGACCTCCTTTCGAGCCGCTTCACGCGACCTCACCAACGCGACCTCACCAACGCGACCTCACCAGGCGCTTCACCAGATGAGCTTCTGAGCGCCGACCGAGGTCCGGTCGCCACGGGGCGGGTGGCTGCGAGCTGCGAGACGCGTGGGAGGGAGAGGGCTTCCGGAGCCACGTGTGGGCGCAGAGACCGAAGGGAGAGGGGCCAACGGGCCGTCCGGCATCCCAAGAGGGTTGGAAGAGAAAGGTGTTTCACCCTGGGAGGGATCACCAAAAGACTGTTTGGCTGCGTGAGCAGAGCGTACGATGCGTGCGAGCGTGCGATGTTCCCGGTTCTGCGGTGGCCATCGAGATGTCGGTGTCTAGACTGTGCGCTGGGTGTCGAGGAGAGGCTGGGCACATGGAAAGATCGTTTTCTTGGGGCAAGGAGGATGTTTGGTCATTTTCCAGGACTTGGTTGGCCCGGAGATGTGAATGAAGGTCGATCTTGTGGAAGCTTCTCGTAACAGGTCTGTCAGGGTGAATTTGTGCACCAGTCCTTGCACATCACAAGTGGAGGGGATTGCCTTTGACCACTGTCTCGACCCCCAGTATATGCTCTGTATCACATGTGAGAGCTTGTGTGTTCAAGCATCTCGGATCAAGCTCGGCCGTGCATGTGGGCGCACTTCCTCGAGCTCACCCGTGAGCTCCGTTTTTGGTGGCCCTATACCTCGAGTTGCACTGGACTGAGCCTTTCATTTGTTTGCTTGGTCACGATCCTCGCCTGCCTACTTGGCTGTTGTTGTGGGGCCGTGGCAGTCCTGCTAGCTGTGTCCAACACCTTCAGGCGGTGTCTGCAACAGATTTTGCTAGGTCTGCTGGCCCAATCTACTCCTGTTGTGCCTTCACAGGTGGCTCCATCCTTGCGACGAAGGTTGGCGGAGTATCGTGATAGTGCATGAGCCAACCGCCAGAGGTTGATTCTCTGACGGTGCAACTTGGTGACCTCTCCATCCGTGTTTCGAGGACCTCTGGGCGTGGACGTTCGGGAGCGGCCGCACCGGCCAGTGAACCTGCTGGGAGCGAAGGTTCCTTTGACCTTGTATCCCTTGCTCGCCCCCTTGGGGGCACTGAGGCGCCTGCTGCTGGCGCTGACGAGGCTGGTGGAGAGATCGACCCTCGCTTCCTGGATTCTGAGCCTTGGACCTGGGAGTGGGAGACTTGCCTGCTGGAGGCCAAGGTCCCTCGTGACTTTGGTCGATTGAGTTTAGCTCCGGTTCAGGGGCTCCTGAGCCGATTGCGCACCACCGCAGGTGGCTGGACACCACAAGCACGGTTGGGACGTGCTTTGCGAGCTGGCTTAGTGGCACGATTTCGTCTGGAGGAGAGGACGGCCGTTCATCCGGATAGCCCTGACATTCCGCTGGACAACCGGGTGTACATCATCCTTCGAGGTCATTCAGGGCGAGCGCCCGGCTGGACTGATCACTATCAGACCTTCTTGGAGGAGGTCAGGGGGCGTGACTTGCGCTTCCACCCTGAGGTGATTTGCCACGGGTTCCCATCTCGAAGTGAAGCGGAGGCGTACTGCATTGGGGCAGGTCAGTCATGGCCCGCGCCTCTGCAGCGCCGAGGTTGACAGAAGACAGCCTGCAGGCCCTATGGGGGGGCCTGCGGACCTGCGGGTCCTTTGCCTGCTTTGTTTCTTTGCCTTCCTCCTCGAGAAGATGCGGCTGCTATGAGAGTCTCGGCCTTCCTCGTCCGTGTCCGGTCTGGAGGCTTTATGATAGCTCTGCCCGACGTAGAAGAGGCAGTGCATTTCCTGCAGGGTCAAGAGGCCGAAGGCGAAGGAGAAGGTGCTGCTTTTTACCCGGTGAATGTGCTGCTGGAAACACCGCGTGGTCGGTCGTTAGGCGAGGGGGGCATCCTGTTGGTAGATCTGATTTGGCCCCTGGTGCAACACTTCAGTCGGGCCAGTCCCTTGCGATCACAAGCCCTAGGCGAGGTGCTGCGGTTTTCTTTCGAAGGGCAAACCGCCCGGCCAAATCGATCCAGCTTGGATGCACTGGCAGATCAGTGGATTCACGAAGCCATGGACGAAGACACTGCTGCAGATTACGTCACGGTGGATGGCGGCCCGGACCCGGGCGAAGCAGAGGATTCAGGTGCAACGGCTGCTGTCAGCGACCTCCAAAGGCGTATCCTCGAGCTCGAGGCCATGCTCGCACAGCCACATACGGCCAGACCCGGGACGGGTGCAACATCGTCCAATGCTTTGATCCCTCCTCCACCTCCCAGCGGAGTCCTTTTCAATGCAGGCCCGGTGACACCAGACAAGCAGAATTACACCATGGCCACCCTCAGGCAGATGGCGGGAGCGGCTCCTCCTCGACTAGGTGCTCACGAGCGGAGCATGAGAGAAGGGCGGCCCTCGCAACTCCTGGAAACACTGCAACAGGAAGAGGGCTTAGAGGCTGTGGAAGTGACGGAGCTAGACGAAGGGCTGAAGGAATTGGAGGTGGCCGTGGCCGATCCAATGCAACGGATGCTCTTGCTGCAGATGAAGCAAATGCAGATCCTGTCCAAGAACCACCAAGAGAAGCGGGTGGATCCTCTTCATGCTGCGCTGGGCGGTTCAGAGACAAGTGGGGGCGGGTCAGGGATCAAAGGGTGCCTTGCTCGCGATGCTTATGTGAAGCTTACATCAGACGTTGCAAAAGTGGGCAGTGTCGCTCAGGTCAATGCAGCCACGGAGCTCGGATTGGACCCACATCAAGTCGGGTCAGGGCTGATGAGAGACTATTTGGAGAAGAGGTGTCCCTTAGGCGATCATCGCCTGTTGATTCAAGTGGGGTACCTATTTGCTGCCGCTTGGGAACAGGGGTTCAAGACCAACAACCCGGATCTCATGGGGCGTGCTGCCCGGGGAATGATCTTTGTGGATCAAGCTGCGACGGATTTTGGTCGCACCAACCTGGCGTGGCTGTTGACGTCGCTACCGGAACCGCAGTATTCCATTGTTCAACGAAACCGAACAAAAGCTTCGATGAGTCCATTCACGCGCCTCGCCCAAGCTTCGTGGATAGCAGCAAACGTATCCTACATGAAGGACCTCGACTATCTAGAAGGTCGCATCCGGAGCACGAACTCGCAGCCTCAGCCGACTCCAGCGAAGAAGGAAGAGGGAGACGAAGTGGGTGCTCCAAAGAAGCAGCCATGGAAGAAGAAGAAAGCAAAGCAGTTAGAGGATGCTCCCGGGGGGAGCAACGAAGGCAGATGAATGTTGCAGCTGCCGGTCCGATGGCCTGGATTCCTCCCTTGCCGAGCTCTACCTCGTCAAGACAGAGGGATTGTCTCCCTACTGTCACACACGGTCGGGGGGGGTTTTCAGGCCCAAGATGGACCGGCGCCTGATGCTGCTATGGACCGAGATGTTGGCTGGCAATGTGATTCGCCCACGGCGGAAGGTGTTTTCCCTAGTGACCATCGTCCAGGCGATTGCTTACCAGCTTCAATTCAGTGCACTCAACTTGTGCGCACAGTTTTGCAAGTTGCTTCGCTTCCTGGGGCTTTTCAAACCTTTGCCTCTCGAAGCCTGAAGGAGTTCCGCACCGTTCAAGACGGGCCGGGATCGCCCCGGCCCGATCTATGGCCTTGTCCCCCGCCTAGGTGGCGGCGATGGACAGGCACCCATGGTCTATCTCCACGGCGTCGGAAACGCCATCGGATGTTGGAGACGCGAGCTCTTTGCGTTCAACATGTGGTGCTGGCATTGAACTGGCTTAGTTTGGGACAGCCAAGGTCCCCTCCTGTCTACTCCAGAGCAGGCTTTCCGATGAGCGCACAACAGCTGGCGATGATTGAGAGATTGGAAGATCTAGTGACCTACTACTTGGATGCACCAGTCTCCACCGTAGACAGTCTAGGCCGGGCTGGGGAGAAACTGACCAAACTGGGACAATTAGCTTTTAAGTTGCAAGATTCTTCAACTCCTTTTTCTGTTGAAGACCTGAATAGTTTTTTAGAGAGCATTCAAAGCAGTTTTGATTCATACTCACGTTCTAAAGATCGGACTAAACACACATATGAGCCACAGCCCACGGTTGCTAGAGCGGATCGGGCCGTGGCAGTCGTGCCAGAGACTCGGGTCGCCTCCAACACCTGCAGTGCAAGTCCGGTAGTTGCTGACAGGATTAAATGGAAACTAGCCCCGACCTTCAATCCAGCTCCTTTCCTCAGTGACCCCATTGTCAGAAGAGCTTTTGAAGATCCGAACGTCCTCCGCCGGGCGGAGAAAGACTGGCCAAGATTGCCACGTGCTAAAGTTCACGCAGATCGTCACCAACTGTTGCAACTCGCGCAAAAGTGGGACGGCCTGCGAGCGTGCTCATTGGTGGATTGTGAGAAGGTTCGATCGGTCGAAGCAGTGGGAATCTTCGCTGTGCCCAAGGATGCTGAATTTGACAGGCTGATTTTGAATCCTACAGTGGTCAACAGTCGGTGTTTTTCATATTCAGCATTTACAAAAACAATCGCCCCTGGCTATTTGATGAGCTTGATTCGCATTGCACCGGACGAAGACTTAGTCGTGTCATCAGATGATCTTTGCGAGTTTTATTACACCTTCCAGGTTAGTCACCTCCGTGCTCGTCGAAACGCCATTGGGATGAGGTTTAAGGGTTCCGATTTTGAGGGCTTGCATTGCTATGATCCTACACTGCATCACAAGGAAGTGTTCATTTGTTTGTCCACTTTAGCTATGGGGGATGCATTGGCTGTTGAGATCGCACAACAGAGTCATGTTAATGTTCTTCGACAGTTAGCGCATTGCATGCAACCTCATGAGTGTTTACTCTACCGTCAACCAATACCTCGCGGTCCATTCTTCGAACTGCTTACAATAGATGACCATATTGGACTTCAGAAGATTAAGAAAGATCGGTCTGAACCTGAGAAGCACAGTCGTGATTTGCAGGTTTTTGAGGCATCCAATATGGCTTATCAACAAGTAGGCTTGACCGCCCACCCGGGCAAAATGAGGAGGAGGGCCGACCACGCAGTGGTTCTGGGTGCTGAGATTGACGGGTTGCGTGGACGCTGTTCGGCTCCAAGAGAGCGCTTGGCTCTCCTGAGCCTGGTTACGGCCGTCATTGTGCACAAGCGATTGGCAACACGAAAACTCTTGCAAGGTCTCTTGGGGTGTTGGACCCATGCATTGCTCTTTAGACGACCGTTGTTCGCAATTCTGGACGTGGTCTACCATGAAGGGGAGAGTCTTCAGAGTGATGTAGTGTTCCATCTTTCAGAGGCGTGTTGCAGTGAACTCATGCTTTTGTGTTTGTTAGCTCCTACAATGCAAACAGATTTACGAACCGATGTTGCACCAGCACTCTACATGTTGGACGCATCACCCTACGGGGCCGGGCTGTGCCATGTGCCCTTCTCAGCCGGTGGAGCGGAAGAATTGTGGAGGCACTCGGAACAGCGGGGGTTTTACACTCGACTGCAATCCGATGCTGGCGCTGCACTTCGTGAACTGGGTCTCGAACACTCTGAGATGTTTGGTGAAGATTCACAGTTTGTTCCACCCCAAACCTTGCATTGCGCGCAAGCTCAGTTGTCAAGCAAAACTTTACAAGATTGTACAGTGATTTTTGACTGTATTGAGCTTTTCTCCGGGCAGGGGAACTGGAGCAGCAATCATGCCAAAGCCGGACTCAAGGTGCACCCCGGGGTCGAGCGCTCCGCTAAGGGAAGTGCATTTGGAGATGTTGCCGACAACAAAACGTTTCGAGATCTGGCCTATTTGGCTTTTCGAGGTGCTATCAGGGAGTGGCACGCAGGACCGCCGTGCTGGTCGTTCGGGACCCTCCGAAGACCCAGATTGCGGTCCAAAGCTTTCCCTGCTGGGTTCAAACCCCATGACCCCAAAACTTTGGAGCAGACCATGCTGGCCGTGCGTACAGCCTTTTTGATGACACTTGCTCTCCTCAGTGGTAGCTACATCTCCGTGGAACAACCTGGCGGATCAGTCATGTTTCTGTTAGCTGCTTTTCAGAGGTTGTTACAGAGAGGCTGTCGGATTACGAAGTTTTGCTTCTGCTCATTTGGGTCGGGTTTTAAAAAGCCCAGTAAATGGTTACACAACAAACCTTGGTATGACCATTTGGCTGGAACTTGTTCATGCGAGTTTAAGAACAGGCACTTTACAGTTCAAGGCACATTCACTTCCGCGACTATACAGCAGTTTGACAGACGTTGCAAGCCAGATACAGCCAGTGTTTATGGCAGGCAACCTCGTCCAGGGGAAGCTGTCAGCAGTTTCTCAGCCTCGTACCCGCAAGCTTTGTGCCAGGCGATGGCGTCTGGCAGCGCAGCTGCTTTGAGAGCTGGAGCTGCGCCTCAGGTTGTACCGTGCTTTTCTGCGGATGTTGAACTTGAAGATGCTGGAGACAGTCTTCAGGAGCGGGAGTGGTTTGATGACCCGCTTTGGGTTGAGGACATTTGTGAAAGCATGCCTTTTAAAGAACTGTTTAGATTCCGGTTCAAAAAGAGTGGACACATTAACTGCTTAGAATGCCGCACATACAAGAGCTGGTTGAAGCATTGCAGTAAGAAACACCCACGGAGCAGAGTGGTTAGTTTTTTAGACAGTAGAGTCACTATGGGTGCTGCTGCAAAAGGGAGGAGCTCGTCCAAATCTTTGAGCCGCATTTTGAGGAGCTCGTTAGGATATATCATTGGCGGATGCCTATACCCTGGAACCTTGCACTGTCGATCGTCGTGGAACAGAGCAGATGGGCCTTCACGTGACCGGGCAGTGCCGGGGCCTTCACGCCCCCGCCCCGCCTGGCTGCTCGCTCTTGAACAGGGCGATACAGGACCGTTTGACAAGATGATCGAGCTTGCAAGGTGGACTCGGCCCGTCGGTCGTTGGATTAGGATCCTGCTTTTGCTTTCGGGCGATATTGAACAAAACCCCGGACCCAAATTTGGCGGTGCAGCTGAGAGATCATATACGCCCCGAGGGGAACTCGATTTACTTGGCGGGTTTGCAACTGCAACTTCACAACGCATGAAGCGGTGTTTTGATGAGTTTCAACTTTGGTGCACAGCAAAAGGGTTTTGTTTTACTACAATTTGTGCAAACGCAGAGAACATGAATCTCGCGTTGAGGGCATACGGACTTGAGCTTTTCAAAGATGGGAAACCACGATATCTTTTGGTGTACGCCATCACGGCCGTGCAGCAATTCTTTCCAGAGTTCAAAAGGCACCTTGCCGGAGCATGGCAGGTCGACTTGCGTTGGCAGATGGAAGAGCCAGGACAGTGCAGAGCGGTTCTTTCGGCTCCCATCCTTCGTGCTTTGATAGCAGTGTCCTTACTCTGGGGATGGTTTGCATTCGCAGGCAGTGTGGTGCTTGGATTTGGGGGCATGTTGCACCCGAGTGAAATACTAGCATTAACCAGGAGGGATCTCGTGTTCCCGGAGGATGCGTTGCTTCAGAAACCATGCTTATATGTATTTATCAAAAATCCTAAAACAGCGAGATTCGCAAGGAGACAACATGCGAAGATTGAAGACGCAAGCTTGATTTTCTTGATAAAATGTGTGTTCGCTGCATTACCTCTTGATGCCAAATTGTTTCCCGCATCCCATGCCGTGTTCAGAAGACAGTGGAATGCCTTATGTGACCACTTGGGAATCCCGCGACGTCAATCGGAGCGGGGGGCAACACCAGGAGTTTTGAGGGGCAGTGGAGCGACCCACGAGTATATGGAAAGTTCAAACATTGCAGAAATTCAATGGAAAGGGAGGTGGAGTCGGTTGCGTACTTTAGAATATTATATTCAGGAAGTGGCGGCACAGCTATTCATCTTCAGCCTATCTAGTGAAACACGCCAACGTATTTCTTGCCTAGGCTCCCAATTGAACTTCATTTTACAACAGTTGTTTCCTGGTCCGTATGCGGATCTTTGCAAGGCAGAACAATGAGGATGGAAAGCATCAGTGCAGTCGAGCTTGGTGTTTGCAGTGGTGTCTTCACT